GGAATCCTTAGGGCTTGTAAAGATTTGACACAAAAACAGAAAATTCATCAGCACAATAAATTTATTCCCTCAGCTATCATTTGACATTATTGTCTACTTTTCACTAGAATGAAAAATTGAAACCCAAGAATATGGATTAGTGCATGGTTTCAGTCTAAATCTTTGAGTAATGCACATATAAATTTGCCTGTTGTAGAGTTCATGTATCAAGAGGCTTTCCTGACGACCTACAGAACCTTCATCTCACCTCACGATCTCATTGACAAACTGCTGTACCGCTTCCACAAATTCCACCACGCCAGTGAGAAAAAGAAGAAAGTGGCAAGGAACACCTTCTCACTTCTAATCAGGGTCATTGATGAACTAAGGTTTGTAATCAAAGGGACTTCTATATGATAAGTTTTCACTGTATTTGGAGGAATCATGGGAAAACATGAAATATCAACCAAGTTTCAATGCATGGAAGTTGATGGAAGAAAGAAATATCAATATTTCTTCTCTTTTGTTTCAGCCAAAAAGAGATGAACCAGGCCACCACAGAGAAGATGATGAGTTTGGTGTTTGAGCTCCTTTGTCAGGGGGATCTGATGCTGGCCAAAGTACTGAGGAAGAAGGTGATCGAGAAGTGTGAGAGCAAGAAGACGGCCCCCGATCCGTTCTCCTCCATGACTTTTACTTCCTCTATCACACTCAAGTCCAGGTTTGTTTACAGCATTACAATATTAAATACAGTAAATATCTATTTATGTTGAGTTCAGGCTTGCAAAAAAATGTAAAGTGATTTTCATTCACTGTAGCTTCAAAATGAATTCCCAAGATATAACGAATGACATTTTTAACAGAATTATTCGTCTCTTCCTAGGATGTTTGATTTCATTGGCTTGATTTTTTCTATGCCATTTTTCTTTTCAGTCCATCAGATTTTCTGTTTTACAAGTCACATGACATAGCAGAACAAATGACCCTCTTAGATGCAGAGCTCTTCCAAAAAATAGAGGTATTATAAATGCATGTTCAAATGATTGATCATGAAAAACAGATAAATAGTAATATATTTTCAACTGGCAAATTATATTTTGAAAAAGCTCACATATTCAAAATTATGCAATTGAAGTTTCTTAAAAAATTATTTCCCTTCTTGTCTGGACTAACATAATAGATGTTTTGTCAGATTCATGAAGTCTCACTTTGGGCCAGAGAACAGTCTGAAGAGCTGAGTCCTAATCTTACAGAGTTCACAGAACACTTCAACAAAATGTCTTATTGGTATGGACTTTTATCATCAGTATACATGTACTTAATAAGAGATTCTAGTGTTTATGAAACTTCATTTGAAGAAAGTCAGTACTAAAAACAGGGGCAGTATATATGATTCTCTTATTTGTATCTTAGGTGCAATTCTATAAGCAAAGGCAGTATATATTATTATTAATTTGAATCTTAGGTGCCGGACCCAGATTCTGACACACGATGAAGCCAAAGACAGAGAAAAGTATTTCTTCAAGTTCATCAAAATCATGAAGGTAAGATGACAGTCTCTCATTCTTTACAATAGTAGATGTCTTTTATAGAAGTCTGATTATTCTGATTACCTGTGATAGCAATGGATGTTCCCTGAACTTCCCTCTCACAAACTCTTGATCTCTAGTTATATGCATAAGTGTTCTACACTTCAGCATTTAAGGAAGTTAAACAACTTCAACTCTTACCTTGCCATTCTGTCGGCAGTGGACTCCGCTCCAATCAGGCGACTTGAGTGGCCAAGGCAAAACTTAGAGGTTCGTATATTGATCCAGTTCTTGAACATCATACTAGAACAGACAATTTTTTCCTCTTTGACTTAGTGACAGGTGCTGATGTTTTACTCTTTTTTAATTCCAGGCATTAAAAGAATTCTGTCAGTTGATTGACAGTTCAGGGTCCTTCAGAGCTTATCGACAGGCACTGGCTGAAACTGAACCACCCTGTATACCTTACATGTAAGTCTGGACTTTGTGTACAAAATAGCAAGATATTATTTGATTTCAATGAGATTTTATAAGAATATTGATACTACACTGGCCTTAGAATAATTGTGTGTTTACAGTAGATATATACCGGTATATATTTCTCACTTTGTCATAAGTATGTGAACTAGACACATTTATGGATTGTGATTTGTTTCGCCTCTTGCAGTGGTCTTATTCTACAAGACTTGACTTTTATCAACATTGGAAACCAAGACTTGCTGCCCGATGGAAGCATTAACTTTGCCAAAAGATGGCAACAGTTTAACATCCTCGACAATATGAGAAGGTTTAAGAAATGGTAGGTTCAAAGATTTTCAATTTGAAATTCATTGTCAAGCACATGTATTGATTACAATACTGTAGTAATAATACAATGATAATGGTACTATATATTCATTTGACCATTCTAAAGGTGCATTTGTTTGATAATTTAACCAACAAAACAATTTTAAACATCTATTTTAAAATTTGCCAATGAATAATCTAATTAAATTCAGACGTCTTAGATCCAGCCATATACACTTACATTGTGTAAGAGGGTACAGATCCAAAATGTCTGATTTTTTAGATTGAAAATTGTTTAAATACTTTTGAATTCATGTTTATTGATTTCTTCAATTTGTAGCAACTACCAAATAAAGAGGAATGAGAAGCTGATAAACTGTTTCAATGACTTCGACGATTATCTCAGTGAGGAAAGCTTGTGGCAGATATCTGAGAAAATTAAACCACGTGGGGGCAACAAGAAACGGCTAGAATTTGACAGCTAAGTGCAGTGGTGTAGAAAGGTCATGTTTTGGTGGTTCATAGGCAGTGCTGTGATCTGAATTCTGCTGATTTCCCATCACATTTTATAATGTGGTCAGATTCACAATGAATTAAAAAAGTGATATAATGTATTTACCATACAGGGCCATATAACAGAGACAAGACATCATTGAGTATTCACAAGCATTTTCATATTTTGTGCGATGTTATACAATTTGAGGTGTCTCCTAAATGCCATATAGAATTTACTTAAGACACTATACATCCATAATGTTGTTTATTCGTGAGATGTTACGAAGGCTGTACAAGGTGTAATTTATTGTTATTTTGCTATATGTTACTTAGATTGTTATTTTGACCAATCCCAAGCCTCTGGGATTATGTGTTACAGATTATTATGATTGTTATGTGTGATAACTGAATGGGATCGATTGGTTGTATAATTATTTATTCCAAGATTGTTTTCTTTTATGAAGATTTGGTTGATAGCAAAATTCAATGATACTAGTAAATGTTTCTTGATCTTGAATATTAACGGTTAACATTTCAAGTGAACTATGATTTGAAGTGCTATTTATAACTATAAGAAAGAAATTTTCTGACAATTAAATATTTTCTTTTATTTATATACATAAACTGACATTTTTCTTGACAGGGAACCAACAGTTGTATGTGTATTTGGTTATAATTGTGCCAAATTTTGTCTCCATCGTTTAAAAACCCTGATTTTTTTTTTATTCATTCAAATTGTTTATGTATACAAGTGCTTTGATAGTTACACCATTTTATAAAGGTTTTGTAATTTATTTCAATTTTTATAGCAAACTTGCTGTGATTCAATCGTTGCAAAAATTTCTGTCCTCTGTATTTCATGCAGTGGATGTCGGGTATTGCAGTGGAAAAGTGTGCTATAGGCAGATGCTTGTAACTGTTACTTTAAAGAATGTAAATAGAACATGTACAAGAAATAGCACAGGAGCATTGTTTTCTAGGAATGTCATAGTCACTCCATGTTTTATAGCTCTACAGAAATGCCAACTTAAAGATTACATTAATCAAGCAGCAGTATTACTGTTATACAGTTTATGATTCATCAGATATTGCTTTTTCTCTACAATCCTAATTTAATGTAAATGTAATAGTATTTTTTTTTTGTAATATCATAGAAAGGAGAAAAATAAGTTCGGAAATCTATGTTTAACACTTCCGTGTTGTAGTTCACAGGACTTGAGACAATTTATCGTTGTTCACAGTACTGATGTGCTGCTCATCCTATCACTGGATGCAGTTGGAACATACTCTGTGTATAGGATAAGAACTTTTGTAGTCATGACTCGTGTTCAGAATGACTTGTTGTGAATTGTTATAGCTGATTGACCTAGTATTTATATGTAAATAGTCACCCTTTATGCAGTTATTAAGAGTATACTGTAATAAAGAAATAACAATGAATTGATTACTTGTTGCTTTTTATTCATAGTTTCATTTTTAGCTCTACTGGTCAGAGATCAGGAAAGCTTATGTGATACTGTAAACATATTACATTTAGTGGTGTATTCTATTTAGCGATTTTAGCGGAAAGCAGAGTCTGCTAATTCAAGTACAACGCTAAATGTTTTGTACCGGTATATTAACTTTTATAACTAGCAAATTCAGACAGCGCTAAATCAAATCTACGCTAACTTGTTGAAAATTGAATTTCCGCCAAATATCGTACATGCCAAATATAATACATTTACAGTAGTAAGGTGTCCATGTAAGATTTGGTTCTGAAAGTAGGCTTAGAAATGAAAGTTTTAAGTCATAAGTTTGCCTGGCAATTCTATATACTGTACATATAGCAATCGGGGAAACAATTAATGCAATGTTAAGACTCTAATTCATTTCATTAAGGAGCCTGGAGGTCACCCAGATGACCTGCTTTTGTAGGTCACCTTTTGAATTTTTCTAGTAAATGATGAAAATTTCATTTTCCATCAGGAATTCCAATGAACAAAATTGAACTTAACCTGCTTTGCATTTGTAGAACTTGTATCTTGTTGAAAAGGGGTGGAGGGTGATGTTCTGGCCCACAAAATTTTTTTTTTAAGTTTTCTTCTCAAGTGAAACAAAGAGGATGATATAAAGAAAAACATAAATACAGTTCATTTACTGGTATCTCTGATCAAGCTGAAAAGTTGCAGTACATTGTTAAATTTATTGTATATATTTGAAAACATTAATTTGTCCCCCTTTGTAATTGGCTATCCATAATCTCCCACTTCTGTCCAAACTCATGGCACCAATACCCTGGATGTTTGGATGCGTAATGTAAGTTATGAAAATTCCATCCATATCTAGCAGATGAACACATTCATTGTCTGTGTCCATTACTAAAAGTTGGCAATAGCTATTCGAGCATATAAAACTAGGAGAAAAAGACGAGAATTTTCCAGGTTGCAGATTTCCTTTATATCTCCATCGCAGAGTTCCATTTTTGTCGGTGACAACCACTTCATTTTTGTTTGGATCTGATGCAGAGACATCCAGATTTTTGTTTTCTTCCACCAGGATGTAATATTTCCCAGCCTGGTAGAGAGGTTGATGATGGTCATCGTACTGAATTTCTTGAATTATTTCCGAATCAGAGAAGCGAGCAATTTTGACCTGGGTTTCATCCTTGCTTTCCAGGGAGACCAGAAATTCATCCTCTGCTGTGCAACAAATTCCAATAGGTCTCCAGTCATCAAAAGTGATCAGTTCTTTGAGTTTGCCATTGGTAATTATGTAAGCATGGCTATGCAGTGAATGGCAGACGGCATATACCAAATCTCCTTGTCTGGTAATGGCCAAATTAGTGGGTTTGTATCCCGATACTGTTGTATGTCTTTCAAATTCAACACTAGTATCCTTGAAGCATATTATTGCATTGTTTTCACCATTTAGCCAGACAGTATTGTCATCAATGCACACAAGATTGCAAATTGTATCAACTCTGGTTTCCAAAGACCTACAGATGGTTGATCTACTGCATAATTTGCGGACAGTGTCCTGTTCTGAAGCAAATGATTTTACTTCTTGTGGTATTTGGGATAAAAGTTTGCCAAAAGTTTCATACATTTTATTCGCTCCAATTTTTGTGGAGGTAAATGAGGGCATGGTTGAAAAAAATTTAAAACGATGTGATGTTTCCTTTCTTAATTGATAATTAAGAATATCTTTAAAATTAAAAGAATTGGCAAACTTCTTCACTTCTTTACAGTGAATACTGAGAGCCCTAAGGAGAGCTTTGCTTTCTTCTATTTGTTTCTTTAAGAGCGTAATGTCTCGATCTTCCATACTCTTTATTTCTTCAGAGAACTTTTGCACTGTCCTGTCTATTTCAGCGTGCCATTGCCTTCCATGCTCAGTGACCTCAGTTTGCATTTTTTCGTATTTTACTCGAACTTCTTCCAGCTGTTTTTGCATTTTAGCAATATTATCCTCCAGATTTTTACAAACATTGTTTTCCAGAGATTCACTTTCTTTTACTAATTCAAGGCTTTTTTGTTTGCATCTATCTTCCAGTTTTATAGCTGGGTGGGCTTTGTGATTAAGTGTTATGCAGTTCACACAAATGGGAATCTGACATTTTGTACAAAACAAATTACACTTTTCATTTTTATGACTAGCACAAGGTGGCAGAATTGGCATGGATGCCCTCAGCTTATAAGACACAATATTATGTTCCTGTGAGGATTTGGCATTTATATGAGCACCTACACACTCGCCACAGAGATTGACTTTACAAACGCTACATTGTAGGCTCACTGTGTTGGAGCAAAGCTCACATTCAATGAGATGTTGAGCATACACAATATCTGGATCTTCCACATCGTTTCCCTCTGCCATATCTGCAAAATGGATGTCACCTGCTCATGATGATCACAATCTGAAAATCAAATTACCACAAATAACAAGAGGCCCAGGGGCCACATCGCTCACCTGAGCAATTGGCTAGGAAAAAGCACATATCAGATCAGAACTGAAAGTTTACTGCGGGGGGGGGGGGGGGGGGGGGGTGGCTTGAATTTTAACTCCCCAGGGGGTCATGATTTGAACAAACTAGAATCTACACTACCTGAGGATGATTCCCTATAAATATCACTAAACATGGCTTTGAAGTACTTGAAAAGAAGATTTTAAAAGATTTGCCTATTTATTCCATGAATGTATATCAATCGTATTGCTCTGTTTTAATTGTTAAGATCCTGGTATATAAATTTAAATTGGAACCGTCTTTTATGTTCAGCTTAACATAGATCTGTTGTTTAAGAAATTAGATAAATATTATAAAGTGTAATTAGAATTAAGTTTCTCAGTTTTTTTTCAAATGTATTTTTTCATGTAGAAGTTGAAAGTACGCGCGGTTTCCCTGTGAAATCTGTGCAAAGACTTAACAAAATCAAACTTATTAAACAAAAATAAAATGTGTTATTAATCATCGTATTGATCTTTGTGGTAAAACATCTGCTACAACAGGCGCGTAGCAACAGGGGGCCGATGGGGGGGGGGGGCGGGGGGGTTAAAACGATGCTACGTGCGACCTTTTTCAAAGGGGGCAAGAAAAAATTAACTTACCTGTAAAAGTTGACAAGCAAAAAAGAAGGTAGGGATTTTGAACAAATTCCTATTTCGAGGTGTGTGTGGGGGGGGGGGGGGGCAATTTTTTTTGGCATAGTGATACAATACTACATTTCCTTGATATCACTTTAAGAAGTGGGGGTCCAACCAATCTTTCAATAAACATTTTCAATAGTAAAGGTGATGTGAAAAAAAGGGGGTCCAGCCCTCAAGTGCCTGTGGTGATACTCAATGTATTATGACCTATATAAAACTTTTATCGGCCATTTGGCCCCACCCTACCATGATTTGAACAAATTTGAATCTACACTACCTGGGGATGATTCCACAGGAGTTTCATCTTTCCTGTCTCGATGGTTCTTGAGAAGAAAATTTTTCCTATATATTCCTATGTAAAACTTTGATCGGCCATTTTGGCCCCATCCTACCCCCGGGGGTCATGATTTGAACAAACTTGAATCTACACTACCTGAGGATGATTCCACATGAGTATCATCTATAATGGCCCAGTGGTTCTTGAGAAGAAAATTTTTAAAGATTTTTTCTATATATTCCTATGTAAAACTTTGATCGGCCATTTTGGCCCCACCCTACCCCCGGGGGTCATGATTTGAACAAACTTGAATCTACACTACCTGAAGATGATTCCACAGGAGTTTCATCTTTCCTGGACCAGTGGTTCTTGAGAAGAAGATTTTTAAATATTTTTCCTATATATTCCTATATAAAACTTTGATCGGCCATTTTGGCCCCACCCTACCCCCGGGGGTCATGATTTGAACAAATTTGAATCTATACTACCTGAGGATGATTCCACATGAGTATCATCTTTCCTGGCCCAGTGGTTCTTGAGAAGAAGATTTTTAAAGATTTTTCCTATATATTCCTATGTAAAATTTTGATCGGCCATTTTGGCCCCACCCTACCCCCCGGGGTCATGATTTGAACAAACTTGAATCTACACTACCTGAGGATGATTTCACTTGAGTTTCATCATTCCTGGCCCAGTGGTTCTTGAGAAGAACATTTTTTTAAAATGCCATAATTTTTTCTCTAATTCATGATTATCTCCCCTTGGAAAAGGGCGTGGCCCTTCATTTGAACAAACTTGAATCCCCCTTACTTTGTAGCAAGTTTGGTTGAAATTGGCCCAGTGGTTCTTGAGAAGAAGATGAAAATGTGAAAAGTTTACAACGACAACGACGACAACAACGACGACAACGACGACGACAAACAACGGACAAATTGTGATCAGAAAAGCTCACTTGAGCCTTTGGGCTCAGGTGAGCTAAAAATAGGTGAGTAGAGCTGAGATTATAGAGTTCATCTCATCCAATGTTGTCTTTAAGTAAGGTAAAGTCCCAAAGTTAACAAACATTAAAATTTTTACATCCCAAAATGCAAATATTTTATGCAATTTTGATCTGAAAAACTTCAAATAATCGCTCATAATGAAGATGTAATCCAGCATCTGAACAAGTTGAGAGTGTTCATCCCTTGATGCATCATTTCTGCAAGTTTGGTTAATATAGACCTTATAGTTTCTTGATGGTAGACCTGCACCCATAACTTTTACCTGGTCCATTATCTGGAACATGTTTGTTGGATCCAGCATCTGAAGCAAGTCCATTAGTGTGCATCTTAGATGTATTATCCATGCATGTTTGCTCAAAATAGGGCATATATCCAGCATCAGAAGCAAGCCTGGTAGTGTGCATCCTTAATTGTATTATCCATGCAAGTTTGGTCATCATAGAGCTCATAATTACTTGGAAATGGGACCTTCACATGTTAATGTGAATGTTAAAAAACATTAAACTTTTCACTTATCTGGAAAATGTAGGTCAGATCCAGCATCCGAAGCAAGTTTGGTAGTGGGCATTCATCCTTAGACGTATCATCCATGCAAGTTTGGTCATCAGAGGGCTCATAGTAGTTACTTAAGGAATCACTGTATACTAGTAGTTAGTATAGTATGCCAGGGCATCAACGATAGTGGGAAACATGGTATAATTTGCATAATAGTTGAGGCCCGTTATGCATAAATTATCCCATGTTTCTCACTATCGTTGATGTCCCTGGCATACTATACTAACTACACAGTGATTCCTTATATTTCCATTTCATTATGAAATAAAATTGTAGATTTAGATTTTAAAAATCTAGACATATATTTAAATTACACGAGGACTACCATGCCAATTTCAATTTCAATTGTAGATTTAGATTTTAAAAATCCAGACATATATATTTAAATTACACGAGGACTACCATGCCAATTTCAATAGCCCTCGCCACTGACGTCAAACACAAAGGCAGCTGCATGAGAATTACATGCGTATTTGGCCTCCTTAGCGTCAGACACAGAGACAGATGCGCACGCGATGTGCATGCACAATAGGCCTCCTTAGCTTCATATCTATCGACCTGCCTAATTTATATTTCGATCGAATGATAAAAAATCAATAACTTTCAAAGAGATATCACAGAGAAAAAAAATAGAAATAGAAATATTTGTAAATAAGACCTACACCAAAAACTATACAAAAATGAAAAACATTAACCTGGTCATGCCTTTGCTGAACTTGCAGCGTCTGAAATCTTATCTGGTACAATAAAACACATTAGAAGCATATTCCATGCATGTCTGATCAATTTAGGGCATAGAAAAACTTAAAAAGAGAACTGCTCCAAAAACCTTAAGGGTTCGTCAAAGGACACCATGTCCAAAAATTTCTTTTTACATTAGCTTCAATACTGTGTGATTTATAAAGTTAAAACTTTTACAGTTTATAAATTAATCATTGATTAACAGAAAGAAAGTATCACTTGATAAAAAAAAAAATACTTGGAAATCCGAAAAATATCAATTGTGAAAAATTCTTTTTAAAAATGCATATATTTTCAGAAAATACACCAAATTAATTCCGCGCTCTTAGTGAAAACCATTATTGCAAAAACAAAATACGTTTCTCAATGAAGGGCAAGATGGACTTGGATAGCCTCTGGAAAGTTTTTTTCCTGTTTATTTTGTCCAAATGTTAAGACTTCAAAGTGAAAGTACATTGCAAATGGCGTATTTTATAGGGGTCTTGACTCTTGATACATGTCATGCTTTCAATAACAGCCTTTCAGAGACCATTCACGTCCAACTCGTAGTTTAGGGGCACCCTATTGTAAAAATAATTTTTTAGACAGGTTGATCTTTGACGAAACCTTAACCTGGGATGCCAACACCCACGCCAAGGGTATCACATAAGCTCCCCCACTTCGATGAGGTGAGCTAAAAATTTTAAAGAAATCTATTGTTGTAATTCTTTTAAAAAAGAGATTGACAGGTCATATGATGGTTTTAAAAAACAATGTGAAATGTCCTCAACCCATCCCTTCAGCATGCTACATGTATCATGAATTGAAGTTATGCTCGATAGGCTTTGAGTTATTTTTGGTATTTTATGCAGTTAATTCAGGGTGATCTGTCCCCTAATAGATCCAGAGCAATCGGGGACCCATGTCCTATACTCTGAGTTAACATTAGGTTATTTCATACAGTAAAATGGTAAAGACTGTCACTCATGCATAATAAAGAAGTGGGGACATCCCTATTCTCTTTAGAGAAGTGGACAAGCTTTCGCCAACATCCTACATGTAGGCATAAAGCTAGCCTGTCCACTTCTCTCAAGAGAATAGGGACACACCCTTAAACAGTTAAACACTGTACCCAGATACGCTTCGTATCTGGTCTAATTCTCTGCCAAAATTATAAAGGACACTTTTATACCCTCTTTTCTATATAGAAAGCAGGAATCCTTTCAAATAATCTTACCTCAATTAATGCAAGGTTTTCGTGGCTTTCTCTTGTGCGTGTGCGTATGCCATTCGTTGTCAAGTATGAAAGCCCGTTGTGCTCATTATCATAGGTAAAAATAAATCCTCAAAACTTTCGTGAATAAATGCATTTTACCCTCATTGAGAACGAGGTGAAGAGAGGTAGCAGGTCCCTCAGTCCCACTCTTTATCTTTCCTAGAACCAAATATATATATTTACATAACTGGTTAGGTATGACATTGATGTACTTTCAGAGGCTATGGATCCATATCACTGATAGATCTAAGCAACTGTGGCGGTCAGCTGGGTTCGATCGCCGGTGGCAAGATTGCGCAGTTGGTAGAGCACCTTACCGGAGTTTCAGGAGGCCCGGGTTCGAATTCCGGTCTGGTCCGCTGCATTTTCTCCTCTCCCGTTACATTTGGTGCCGTGACCAGGATTTGACAGGTGAAAGACCTGCCAGGGATAAGCCTGGGTTGAGGTCTTTGGAGGACCAAAGACCTTTAAGGAGGGAGGAATGTGGCGGTTAGCCGGGTTCGATCGCCGGTGGCCAGATAGCTCAGTTGGTAGACACCCATTCTCAATATAAGGGCTCAAATAATGTCGCCTCGTTTTCATTTAGAAGAAATACCACTGATGTAATTTTTAAATCAACATTATAAATAATCATATAACAATGAATAAGAATTCATATAATCATCGATCTGAAAGGGTATTAAAGGAGTTCAAAATTCAAATATAGTAGCCTATTTGAAATGTACGTTACTGTCGCCGAGGCAAATATTACGCTGAATCCCCTCTGTGTAATATATAGTTTTGATTCTCAAGTAAAAATTTTCTGATAAGTTAAACCTTGTATCATATATATTTCTTTTCATAATAATAAATACATTTTCTTTGTGATAATAAATAATTTTTATTGTGCAATGTCCCTGTCGCTTAATTATATTTCAACCACATTACAAGCAAACACAAAGATTATACATCTGATAGTTTTGTTCTCCTTTATGTATTGATGGGCTAAATTTGAAATTTCAAAGGATTAATTACTCCTACTTAGATCATGTAACATGAAATAGAACAATTTGATCAACTTTTATAAATATGTTTACGAAATGAAAGACATTTTCAATCGTAGAGATAAGAAAGAAATGTACGTTACCTATATTCTTCCATTAGGAATATATATTCAGTAGAAAATATGAGACGACTCTGAATAAGCAACCCCTTGTATCCTGTAAACTGGCAAAGACGTTTTGCTTAACACAATTAAAAATTATTTTTTACATGAAAAGTGATCATTTGAAATGTACGTGACTGAAATGTACGTTACCATGAAATTCGAATTAAGTGAATCTCGCACGAATTTTCATGTATTCTCATACTTTCACAGACTCGAATGTGTACACAAAGGAAAGTTTCAAAGGTTGGAGGTCGGCTAAATCCCAAAATTAATGAAAAGAAACGTTTCTGCTAAGGTAAAAAAATATATTAAGGTCAATTATATGTAATATAATTTTGATACCTGGTATATATTTCTGAATATGAAACCTGTACGATGCATTTCTTATGATATGCAAGTTCAAATAGTATCATATATTGCGTGTCTAACGTACGCTTGTGGAAGAGAATTGATTTTTATATTTGAAATGTACGTTACGTATGGTAACGTACATTTTGCGCATTTCTTACTGACATTTTTTTTAATTTAGTCAATGAATTGCGTTTACACGAGCGAAACAAAATTATCGTTACAATCCATTTGACAAGTGACCACCAAAATCCATCTAAATGCACCCCCAGTCCTCGTAAATGTGGTAGACTATTACCACATGCTAGAAAATTTATTTCTAAGTGTCTTAAATTCATCTTTAGCAACCTTTTTGCAGTTTGTTTACTTTAATTATGCGACTTTTCGTCAATATTAATTTAATTGTTGTTGATAATTTAAAACAAGGTATGCATAGGCTTATAATTGGTAAAAAAAAAAAAAAACAAAACAAAACCAAAAAAAAAAGAAAAAGAGAAAGAAACAAAACAAATAAACCCAGAACACAAGACGGTCACGTACATTTCAAATACTGAAAGGCACACAATACTCAGTTTTGTTTGAATCATTGCATTTTGGGTTATATTTTTCCAGATCTGCTGAAAAGTACGTATGGTTGTGTTTTGACAAACAATGTTGCAACATACTAAATGAAATTGTTAACAAGACTGTCGATGGATATATTCGGAAAAGATTTTTGTTAAGTTTCAATGGCCAAACACAAGCATTTGTTAGATCATAGCAACTCTTTTTTTTTTTTTTTGTCTGTACCCTTGCACACAGGTAGAAGTAACTAGGCTACGACCGGTGTCAATTTCAGCGAAACAGCACAAAAGAATGGTAATGAACTGAGGTGGAGGGGACTCCCCAATAATATGTGAAATGAACGTTACCGAAGTGACGTGACATTCATTGTAGTTGATGACAAATAACCACGTTTGTTACATTATGATTTCTTATATTACTGCGTTAAAACGCTTCACTGAAATGATTTTTATGTCAATAATTGCTTTTTTGCAATATTTTCTTATTATAATTTACATATTATTACAAGCTTGAAATGTACGTTACCTACTCATATTTTGAGGCAATCGTGTCTTTATAGTGGTGATTGTGACATATAACACAATGTGATTACATAGAGAATCTTTTTTGGAATAAACTTAAAACAAAACTATGAATTTTTAGATGAATTTTAAGCTTTTTATTAATCAGAAATATATCTTGAAATGTATGTTACATTTACGTAGTTGTCTGAATCGGCATAGATATATATTAAAGAAGACAGTAACTACAAAATAGAATTTTACTACATGTACATGTTAAGTTCCACTATCTATAGAAAATGACAAGATTCCAGACTGATCGCTCTAAACAAAACAGAGAGAAGAATTTAAAGCATATATTTTTAAAAAAATGTTTCTATACAAGTAACCTTTGTTTTTTGAAAGGAAAAATCAAACGCACGTTCATATGCCGAGAAAATATGTTGCTGACAGAGTTGGTAGGATGTGCTGGTGTTAAGATGAGATATTCCAATTGTGATTTTAATGACTACATTTTTTTTACATATCTTTTTGGACATTGAAGAAAGAGTAACGTACATTTCAAGCTACATTTTTGAATAAAATCACCCTCTACTTTACCGTCTTGTCATTATTCCATGTATTAAAATTTGATGAAAAAAAACCTGGAAACAAAATCTTCAGATACTTTCTTTCAAAGGTAATTGATAGAAAAATTGTTATCTTGAACTTCATTTTTTTAAAAATCAGAGAGGCATTTGTGCCCTTATATTGAGAATGGGTGAGAACACCTGACCGGAGTTTCAGGAGGCCCGGGTTCGAATCCCGGTCTGGTCCGCTGCATTTTCTCCTCTCCCGTTACACAACAATAGCCATCTAACTATAGTTTGGCCAAAGTAGCTTTAAGAAATCAAATACAATACAAAAAAAATTTCATGCTAATCAAGTAACTCTATATAAAAAGACCATCATATTATGAGGGGAAATTATTTTCTTTTATTAGCTACAAACTTAGACCCCATTTAATGCATTTCTCATACGTGTAGCTTTCTATAAAGTAATATTTAAAAAAATAAAACTGGAAAATTCTGAATGCCGTAAAAAGTATTAGGAAGTCCTTAGTGCATTGAATTTTAGTCCTTCTAAAAATGTAAAGTCCATCAATGCTCAATGTCATCATCACTATACCTACATAATTCGTCGGACCCGGGAAGGGGGGTGTTACCCCCCCCCCCCTCAACAATTTTGCAAAGATAGACATAATACAGGCATGTGCTAGGATATTGACCAATCCGTGCATATTTTTTTTCAAAGTGCGTTAACCATGTCCCCAAATTTAACGTACTTTGAAAGAAAAATTTCTAAGTGCGTTATTTTTCAAAGTGCGTTGTAAAAATGCAAAAAAATGTACATTAAAAGATGTATAAAAACTGCAATTTGCTTTTTGTTACCACATTTATTTAAAAGTTTCTTTCATATCTGTCCGTTTCTGTCCTTAAGCAATGATTACTAGATCACAGATACTTGTGGATAGGACCCCCCAACCTCCACCTCACCGATAAAATATCAACCCCGGGGCTTGTTGGTGATATATATATCACTTATTCATTATGTATATACCACAGGAAAAATCGGGAGAAACTGGAAAATAATCGTCCCATACAAAAATACCCTATTATACATCGTTCCATACAAATAATACATTCTTATACGAAGTACCTGTGACAAGGCCTTTTCGAAATGTACGCACTGACTTTTAATCCCATTATCTTGACCTTGAAGTTTGACCTGATTTTCAAAAATCTTAAAAACGCTGATGACTTTTGAATGAGAGAAATTATCTTTATCGGATTGTATTGATGCAGTTTTGAAAACTTTAATTTTTACCGTAACAAGACCCCAATAACACAATACAAAATCGTTAAGGTAGAACTTAAAATACGTCATTATATATCACGCACGATCTATAGTTGAGGGTCGGGGGTACGAGCCTCCCTCTCGAAATTTGCGAAGCTATTAAATGTACACCATAAAGATTTAAATTTATCTTAGACCCCCCCCCCTATTTTTTCAAAGGAAACACGAACCTCTCTCAAGTTTTTACAGTTAGTTAAGAGAGTTACACTTAAAAGTAAGTAATATAAGTAAGTAATGTAAAAAGTGAAGGAAGGGACCCTCAATCCCCCTCTGAAATAAGTTTTAATGGGTTGGAAAGGGAGTTTGTTTTATTTTTCCTCCTTTGAAGAACAATGGGATTTGAAGCATTTAAGTCTAGTTATTCTAACAGTTTTGAAATAGAGATATAATTGTGATTTTTCTTCAATTTTCGATTGTGTGCAAATGTTTAGAGATTTTACTCCAACACCTTTAAGAGCAACAACAGTCACTCACCAAACAAAGTGAGAGTGGACGGTATTTACAGAGAATAAAATTGCCACATATTGCTCCTTATTGCAGAAAATGAATGCCTATACATTCTGAAAAATAAGTTAAATTTTAACCAGAATAGTTAACGATAAATAAAGCCCCAAAAATATTTGTAAATTCACCTGCTGTGAATTTATCGGGTAATCGGCGACAGAGACTCTTTTACAGCATTTCCTGTCATGCATTCAGTTCATCGCAATAATCTTATGTTCATTTTATATTTGAGGT